AGATCATGACCTGAGCCAAAATCAAAAGTCGGATGCTTAACCCACTGAGCCACCCAGGCACCCTGGTAATTTTCTTAGTATTAGACCTTTGGATGGTTTCCAGATGTTTTGGGACATTATTAAAAATATTGAACTTACACTCTTTTGTTGAGTATAGTCCTAAACTGTCAGGACATAATGACTTATTAGGCGTTTTCCATCTCTGCAAGTAGAATGAACAAGAATTATGATTCTGCGTCTTTTAAAAATTTATTGCTTCTCCTATAGCATCTGCTGCAAGGTGATATATTGTAAGGAAATTCATGTGTTTATCAAACCACACGTACTTTTGTGTGCATAAAGCTAAATGGACAGAATGGCTGCCAGCATCGCTCTTGTCCAGGGGGGCTGGGGGTGGTGTTTCAGCTGGGGTACCCATGCACATAGGAGAACATGAAGACTCTCCTAGAGATACGAAGGCATAGGTAGTTTAAGGGAGATGATTTCCTGGTCCTCATTATCTATAGGTGCCCTTTCCAAAAACTGATTTTGCCACATCTCCTTTTCTAGCCTACCTATTATAGTCCCTCTTCTTCCCCTTGAGCAAGGAAAGCATCGCCATTACCCATCCCATTCTGAATCTTACCGCAGTATGTTCTGCGGGGGTGCAGAAATGTCTTCCCCCAACAAAGGACTGTGAAAATACTAGTGTTTGTGTTGGTAAAAGGGATGACTGTAATGACCAGACCACACATCTTTTTGCAGGTTAGTTTTTACTTCTTGGCTTTCAGCAACATTGAAGGAAGACCTCTTCTAGTTATAATAGACAAAAAAAGATGTTTTGATGCCAAGTCTCCTTCATTCTTACTTATGTAACTAAGTTTTCTTACTGCTTACATCTGTAAGAGTGAAAAAGTCTAGAAATGATGTTAAATCCCACCTTATTCTAGCACTAAGGGATACTCATCCATAGATATATGAAGTAATTGAAGATAAAAATAAACAAGGCCTACCTATCTGTTTCTTTTGGAATGCATTTCCGATAAAATTATACTTTTCGTGTTAACTACATTAACATTCTTATATATAATCATTAATACTGTTTGTATCAGTTAGGTGCATTCATAATGGTACCTCAAGCCAGAAGAAAAGTAAACACCTTTAAGCCTCATGAGCACAGGAGACTTTTAAAAAATCACTTTGTATACATTTTATACACAGAAATATAGTAGGGAGATTAATAAAAAAGCTCTCAAGAATTGAAACATATTGGGGCGCTTAAGTAGCTTGGGTGGTTGAGCATCTGGCTCTTGATTTTGGCTCAGGTCATGATCATAGGGTTCATGGGATCAAGCCCTGCATTGGGCTCTGCTCTGACAGTGCAGAGCCTACTTGGATTCTCTCTCTCTCTCTCTTTCTCTCTCTCTGCCCCTGCCCCACTCATGTACAGTGCCTCTCAGAATAAATAACCATTAAAAACATAATTAAAACATATAATATTGAGAAAAAATTAAGTTGGGGAAGCAGAATGGAAATACAAGTTCAAGGAGAAAAGAGAACAATGTAGCATCTTTTACTCTGAAGAGTTCACTCATAGGAGCGCCTCAGTGGCTCAGTGGGTTAAGCATCTGACTTCAGCTTAGGTCATGATCTCAAGGTTCATGAGTTTGAGCCCCGCAGCAGGGTCCATTCTGACAGCTCAGAGCCTGGAGGCTGCTTCGGATTCTGCGTCTCCCTCTTTCTCTGCTCCTCCCCAGCTCGTGTTCTGAGTCTCTCATAAATAAACATTAAAAAAAATTTTTTTTTAAGTTTGCTCATATACTTTTTTGATGGATAAAGCTGGTTTTCAAATTGGTGTGGTATTTCGATTTCATTAATACATTTAAATAAGTGATATGTTTTAACTAAAAACTGTTATAATTCCAATATGCCAGAATTATAGCCTTTTCAAGTAATTAGAATTATGACAAAGAAATGTAAACGTCAATTTAAAATATGTGCAAACCAGAACTTTACATTTTTCTTAGTGGCTATTGGAGCCACAAAGGCTCTAAAAGCTATTTCCAAATCCAGAGAGTGGTTGAACCTGACAGCTGAGCTTTCTGTGGTTCTGGGTCTGCGATAAAAGTTCTGCCTATTAGTGTTAGGCCTAAGAACATAACAGTGATACCAGAAGAGGCTCCTGGCCTACTGCTGAAGAATGTTCATCAAAAGACAACTGGTCTTTCCCAACTCTTGGTGTGTGTGTTGGGGCGGGGGGCAGATGAGTTAGAGAAAGTGCAGTATTAATGGAAACATGGTTGGTCTCCGTTCAGCCATGTCATTTAACTTTACTTTCACCCATGGCCTCAAGATTTACCCAGAGCCAGCTTGCCAGCTTGTATAACCTGTAGAAGGGGGTCACCAAACTGGTGGCAGGGATGGTGGACCAGGAACTGTGGATGAATTCTATCTGTATCTATCTATCTATCTATCTATCTATCTATCTATCTATCTATCTATCTATCTATCTATCTTATCTATCTATCTATCTATCTATCTATCTATCTATCTATCTATCATGTGTTTTCATGCTTTCACCGTTGTTAGCAGATAATTCGGAGTGTTTATCCTAATGATAAAGAGCTGGTGATGCCATCCTTGTGTGCAAAGGAATGTGTTTGTATTCCAGGCGTGCAGTGAGATCTATCAACCATTTTTGTACAGAGAACTAAACCACATAAATGAGACGAAGCAGATGTGAGCAGAGGGAGGAGAATAAAGAAATACCTAGCTGGAAAACACTGTTTTTGTGGTAGTGACTGTAAATTTATGGTAGATTTTATACATATAAGGAGGTTTCAGTCTGACTATGATTCACAATAGTTGGGAGGTTTTTAAGGCCTCTTTCAGGGTATAGGAATAAGCCATAATTAGGACCAAAAAGAGCCATTGAATCAATATTTGTCTGATTTCCTATTTCCCTTTATCATAAGGGGAAGCGATATAGTGAGATATGCTGTAATGGGCTTTTCTTCTTTTGTTGTGAAATCAGTCTTCCTTTGATTCTTTGATTCCACTGCCAGGAATTTTTAAACCAAGAGTACTTACTCTGTCCAGTTATTTAAGAGGGCATCTTTCTATTGTTTGAGTACCTGCTCAAAAAAAAAAAAAAATCTAGTGACTGTAAATATTTGTGCATAAGAATTTGGATACGTTGATTATTTGTCTTCAATTATGTTTTAAGTCTTTTTCTTCAATTATATTTCTATTTAGTATATGGTAAAGAAAGCAGATACATTAACTATGTCTTGTATTCTCCTGATTTTATATTTCAGATTCAGTTTCCATTTCTGATAATCACTTAGAAGTGTTTATTTGCAGGTATTTTGTTGTTTTGGAAAGGGCAATAGGGAATAATTCAAATCTCAAGGACTTTTGCTGTGCTGTTTTTCTTAAGTTTTCTTTTGCCACTGATGGATTGCTTTTTATGATAAATATATTAACATCGTGATAAATCATTGCTAATATTGCTTCGCTCAATTGCATATATTAGGAATGATAGCTCCAATCAGAAGAAGACTGAAACCTCGAGAGACCTATGGTCGTATTACTTCTGTTTTACCATTGATTGCTCTGAAGACTTCTTGTACAAACCACAGTAGTCCAAAGTGGACTACTGTCACGTGAATGATTTTAGTCACAGTGCCCTATTCAGTCATGTGTAGGGCATTGTCGGGGGGAAGCCCCACCATAAAACATTGTAGGTGAAGTTGAGGAGTGATCAGAGGCATTGCCTGTTTCCCCCTCAAGCTCCTTCATTGAGCCACTGTCCACTCTCCTGGTTTATAAAGTTGGCAGCTATAGCAACAGGGATAGGCATTCATGCAGAGTGCCGGTGAGATTCAACGTCAGGGATGGAGGAAGCTCCAGGGTGACCTTTCCTGAGTTTGTTAGTAGACAGTTATGTGAGAATCATTCTACCTTCTTGCGCTAAGTCTTGATTTTGAACTTGGGAGTGGAACTTTAAGAAGTCCTTATCTTCTGCCATGAGGAGCCTGTACCCTCACTGTCTTTGCTCCTCGTTTGCTTCTTCTTAAACTTCAGGCCTTCCGTGTCTTCACAGGGTCAAAAA